AGGCGCTGGACACGATCTCGTAAAATCTTCGCGCTGAGTCTCTAATCACAATAATTAACACAGCTTGCCCTGCGTTATAAGCTCGACTCAACAATCAGCGCTCTTACATGCACAGTCTCGGGCAAAAACACGGCGCGATCGAGGGTTCGCGAACTCTCAATATAATACATTATATTGGTGATCAGCGCGCCATAGGCAGAGCAAAAAGCCCCGCGCGTATACACACCGGCGCAAAAAAAGTTCACAACATCTAAATCGTGAACCAGCCATTTGGAATAGACTAGGCCATTATGTATGTTTAGAGGTGCACTATGCACCGCCGAGAAGCTGCCGCTGCTGGTCGCACACATGTACGCGGGGCGCCTTTTCTATCTGTATATATATACTGCAGCGGCGAACGTGATTCTTTGGGGCCATATATATAGCTATGTGTATATACACAGTATGTTTAGGTGCTGCGCGGCGCAGAGCTATATTAATGAGATCGCGATGATCGTGAAAAAGAATTTTTATTCGAGCTCCGAGCGTACAGCAAGTATAGCCGTACCTGTATGTATGTGCTTGCATACAAAGGCTACTTTATTTCCGCGCCGTAAACGTGTGTATGTGTGTTCGTGTGTATCTATGTATAAAACGTATAATGTTTCAGCTATTTTCCCTATATTTTTGCCGCCGCCTCCATCGTCGCCGTGTATATAATATACGGAATAAATGCGCAAAAGTATTATGTATGTGGGTAAACGTGTGGGTCTTGCGGAGTATATAATATGCGCCCGAGTCGTGTTACGCGATATCTTATTGGTCTATTATGAAGCCGATCGTCATGGGGATAGCACGTGCAAGTGTGTGTTTACGGAAAAGATGCCATTATAATACGTGTGTGTAGGTGCGCGCTCGCGTTCGCGCTTTTTTCACCTTCTTTTCGCCGCACAGAAGCAGTGGCGATTCCTTCTTAATTGTTCCGAGTTGTATTTATAATTAAGTCTGCATATGAAGCTTTATCTGATTGTGATCGCGCGCCCATCTACCCGTGTATTATAAGCGAGCTCTCCTCGGGGTTCGTTACAAGAGTCTATGGCTCGTTTCGCGCTGATACCTGCATGGAGACTCGCGCGCGAGCATTACGTCGATCTGGAAAGTCTCTCTCGAATTATTTAGCGCTTTTAAACTGCGAGCTACTCGGAGGAGGAGGTAATAAAAAGGATAAAAAAAAAGAGAAAAGTATTGTTATTTATTGTGATTGCCGATTCTCGACTCGAGTTTGATTAATAAAGCCAGTAAAGCTGCGCGATACACATACGTAAGCGGGCGTACAATACGTACGAGGAAGCCGCGCAGCGGAATTATTTACTGGCCTTAGTTAAGTCTCGGAGAAAAATAGCTCGTCCGTTTAATGCGTAATGGATTTAGTGGCTTAATTAATCTTCCCGTGATTGCCGTCATAATAACAAAATCAGCGTTTTTGATGTGCCTCGATAAAAGTCGCGCTCTCGTATACGCAGCACCGCTGCTGTGCACTGCAAGCTGCGCTCGCGTACACGCGCGTGCCCCGTGTGCAACGTTTTCTTACACACGCGCTCGCACAATATATATATATATATACGTACGACCGTCGTATACTCGTTGGCACAATGTTTCTCTCAAAATTAAACGCGTGTACGTATGTACGTATGCGCGGGATCTTTACTGCCGCGTCATAAAAATGCCGAGCTCTTCCTCTCTCGGCTCCGAGACTCGCGTGCAGCTGTTCGGCTCCAAGATTCGAATGCTTCCGAACTCTTTCATCGTAAGGTTGTTTTGTCTAGATGCTATTTCAAAATTTAATAAAAAGAATATTATGTGGTAAATATTAGTGTGGTAAATTACAATAGATGTCGCTTGAAATTCCTGCAAGCATTATTTTCATGATTACTAAATAAACCCAGAAGTTAAGCTCATACACACATTCTAACTTTTTTTATATAAACCACAGTTTAATGAAAATCTACATTTTCAACATAACATTAACATCATTGAGCTCTAAAAATGTGAAAAAATTTGCAGAATAGGCCTTTGCATCTAAAAATAGCTCATTTTGGCTATTTTAGCCTTTCGGCACTGTGCGCAAGGTTCAAATCAGAGTTTTTGGGTTGGGAGATCCTGAGGTCTCAAAATCTTCAGAAAAGTATCCTTTATTGGCTGAGTTTTGTGGAAATTTGATTAGAGTTATAAAAAATTTTGTATGCCAACAGATGTGAAAAAAGCAAGAAATAAAAAAAAGTTATCAATGTTTTCGAGCACATATTGAATAATAGAACTGATATGAAGGTCTAAATCCAAATTCCACAAAACTCAGACCATAAAAGATACTTTTCTGAAGATTTTGATACTCCCACCTGAATAACTCTGATCTGAACCTTGTGCACAGTGCCGAAAGGCTAAAATAGCTAAAATGAGCTATTTTTAGATGCAAAGACATATCCTGCAACTTTTTTCACATTTTTTAGGGCTTAAAAATGTCAATTTTATGTTAAAAATGTAGATTGACATTAAACTGTGATTTATATCACAAAAATGACCAAGAGAAATAAATTGGTGTATGACTCCCCTTAATCATTAATATCTGGTCTTCGTTTTGCCGCCTGACTTGTTCCAAAACTTTAAAGACCCTTGAGGAATGTAAATGAAATAATCCCACAGTTGCGGCATCTCAAGGGTTGAAATAAATATTATCAATGAAAATCGATATCCTCGTGCCGATCTCTGATCATCGCGCTCGCTGCTGGATAGATATTTTCGTTCATATGTGTACGCATCGGTGTAGCCTAATTATTCTCGCTCAGCAGCAGAGAAAGAGAGAGAGAGAGAGAGAGAGAGAGAGAGATATGTACCGTTGCGCAATTGATCGCACGCGCCCGGTCGACGCATACATGCACCGCAGCTACCTTACACTACCGACGTCATTGCCTCGAGGGCATCCATCTAGTAGTATCCTCGCGCGTTTATTGCGCTACCATGTAAGTGTGTGTGCGTGCGTGTGTACTCAAATACGCATGATACTTACACGCGTGTCCGCGCGAATTCTCGCTACAGATCGCGCCGGGCCGATGTAAATATTTTGAAAATCTCGTTCAGTTTTGCAATCTGCGTCCTATTTCGTAACATTTTCATCTTGCGCAGGATGAAAAAGTTACGCTGCTGATTTTTTTGCCTTCGCAGCGATATTTTATAATATTATTTACTGCGGTTTCTACTCGAGCTCGGGTCTTATAGGCGGATCGCAAAGTACACAAACGCACGAGCATATATTTATACACGCTATAATTCGCATATTATGTCCTTCACGGTTGTCTTGCAGAACGCTCTCGAGTGTACTCTACAGGCATTTTGAAAATATCTAAGCGTAGTATTTGCTCGGCCGTATACGCTCGCAGTAGTATAAGTAGTGGCGGTAGTAGTACGACCACGACGACAAAAAGTCAACACACGAGCTTTCAGAAACAAAAAAAAAAGGGTAAAAAAAAGAGAAGGCATCACATATTATGACAGCTCATCATCCGCGAATCTCATGTCAGCGCACGTTTATAATACATCACGTTTCGCGCGCGTGATCACCGTCAAAAGGAACGCGTATAGTAGACGAGTGTAATAATCTTTTTAGCCAAATCATCATCCTGCCTCAGCCGAGAGAGAGAGAGAGAGAGACTCTCTGCGCCTGGCTCTCTATATGGCTGCGGTCGTATGTGCAGCATCAGTGCTGTTGCTGCCGTTGCTGCTGGTGTGATGCACGAAGCGATAATATACACATACGTGTGGGGTCATTCCACCCACGCAGCGCAGCAGCCTAGTGGCGCACACGAGCCAACGGATGCCAAATCGTCCCGCGAGTAAGCAGCAGCGGCGGCAACGCGAGAGTTTCCGCATAGCTAAGAGACCGGTATTCGCGCGACTCACCGGGTTCGTATACCGATAGAGGATGGTGGCAACGAGAACGAGGGAGAGATTCGTCGTTTCGATTGTTTTTTTCTTCTCTCTTTTTCTCTCCGCACCATTGCGATGATATCGAGCGAAAAGCCCCCGCACACCGCAGCGCGCGCAAGCATGTGAGCCGCGGAGTCGAGAATTACACGCGGTCGCCTCGAGTAATATCCTGCATCGATCATCGATCCTGATGCACGCAAGACTCCGATACGCGAGCTTGAACAAAAACAAAAAAAGAACAACACGCAGCCGTCTCAATTTCTCATTCGTTTGTTCGTAATAATATATAAATATATATACGCACGAAGAGAGGCACGCATCAGCAGCAGCATCAAATCCCGAAGAGAAGAAGCCCCTTTCGATCGGTCCTCGCGATTTACCGTACGAAACGGAACCAGTCCTCTCTTATATATACTTACGCACGTAGAATCTGCAGCAGCAGCCGCGACGGCGTCACACTGGACCATCGTTCTCCCTCAATCTTTCTCCTTTTTCTTTTGTTGTCGAAAGAAATTCGGTCACGATCCATCTCTGTCTTTCACCGGACCGCCTGACTCTGGCGCGCGCTCGCACGCGGTATCATTACAAAAGCTCTCTGCACATTTACAACATGGAATTTGCGTGTCGTATATATCGTGCTGCGTGCGCTTACACTTATACGTATATACGTAGACGACGACGACGACGACTCGACGCGCGAGGCCAAGCGCCGTAATGCGCGATTCGTCGTTGATAATTAATTGCGATGGAGAATCTGGGTTATCTCGAGCTCTCTGATGCTACGTGCATGCAGCGAGTGTGTGTATGTGTCACACCCGCGACAAATAAATGATCCTCCTCTTATTCTCGGCGCGCAGCCACGCTTGCTTGCTCGCGCGAGAAAATTTTTCATCCTCGATGAGCTGTATATTTCGCGTTACACATTTTACGACCTACATAATAATAATGTACGCTGTGCATGTCGTACACACGCTTATACACAGCGCTCGCCATGTGAATCGAATTCAGCTAACGAAGCTTTTCTTTATGTGTTCGTGCAGGTGCTTCCCGGATGGCGCCAAGGTGCTCGACGCCAATATGACGACAGAACTGCAGCCACCTGGTTATCGTGGTCAGCAGCAGCAACAGCAACAACCCGACGAGCAGCAGCAAATTTTAGCGGTCAGCTCGACGACCAGCGCCAATAACAAGCACTATCATCGCCAGCAGCAGTTGGCCTACAATAACGGCGTCAACGACAATTACGAGGATCGGCCGTTTAACGTGAAAAAAAACGCGCCTGGTTACAAAAATGATAGCGGGTGAGGTCGCAGGATTTTAATTTTTCTTCTTTTTGTTATACATTTTACGATAATTCGATGTACTTGACAGCTCGATTTTCGGTACTTTCAGGTACAGCGAGAGCTTGGGTTTCGAGAGTTTCAGTGTACCAATCAGCGAACGAGACGCGACATCACCACCGCCAATTCCTCCGGTGCGCGACTTATCGAGCCTCAAGCCAACTCACGACAAGTATCCCTCTTGGCCGGCCAACGCTTGTTATCCCAGCAACGGCTGCGGCCCCGAGGAGCAGCAGCAGCATCCAGTACAGCAGCAACAGCAGCAGCAACAGGTAGCAGTGGCGCAAGAACAGATTCCGGTGTCGCCGACCGCTGGTCCTCCACTTCAATCTACGAAAAATTGGACCGAACAGACGAATTATCCGAAAGAGAAGCAACAGCAACAGAGAACCGCGACCAAGAGGCCGAACTCGAGTTACACGCAACAGGTGGGTTTATCGCGCGATTCTCTTGCATTACGTCCGATCGACTTGTCCTCGAGTCGAAAATTCGTTTGTACATATGTCTGTAATTGTCTCTCGCACTAAAGTTGAAAACGGTCGTGGAGCGTTGCGAGAAGAGCCACGCCGGCGGTTCAAGGCCCAGTCAAGGCGGTAACGCCACCAAGCTGCCAGCGATGAGGCTGCCGGCGCCTATCGAGTCGTCCAAGACGACGACGGCCCTCAGGCCGGCCGATATCGAGGCTTACGCGACGAGTTACCAGGATCCGCAGCTCATTCAGGTTGGGGCTTATAGAGCTTTTCCTCCTCCCTAGAGCTCCACGCATAGTCTATAGCATTTATAGATCGACGCACGTAGTACAGCAGTGGATGTGCAGCGGCGCCTACACTCACGCACGCAACTCACTAGCTGCTCTGCTGCTGCTGCCGCGACTAATGCATTCAGATTTATTCATTGGCTTTTGATTTATGATGCGGCGTCGTTGCCTACGTATATATTATATAGACACCATTGCCATTATATTCGCAAGCTTGTACGATCGTGTGCGTTCACGCTTTTAGTCCAAAAATCATATCTTTGGAGAAAATTGCATGCTGGCACGCTGTAGCTTCGACGGATATACTCATACATATTATAAACGTTGTGCACGCGAACTCCGGATAGATTTCGCACGCGGGTATACATTCGGGTCGTAAGACTATACTAAAACTAACGTATTTTCCTTGCCTGTCGTTTGCAGGTCCCGCTCTACGGAGAGACCGATTTGATGGCCGCCGACCCGTCCAGCATGGACGACTACACGACGGTGCAGCACTCGCAGCAGGCGAGCTATGCCCAATCCGAGGGATATCACAGTTACGTGTCCAGCGTCGATTCGACCACGACGACGACTCCCTTCTTGGACAGGTAAGCTTTTATTACTTCAATTGTAAATAGTGAATTGTGCAGCTAAACGCCCAGAAATATTCCAAGCAGTAAGGCTCAACATTTTATGGCTAGTTTTTGGTCAACGAAAAAGTTTCTTGGATATAAAGACATGACAGTCAAATTCAGTTCTATGTAACATTTTTATTTTGAACACTGACTTATACAATTCTTTTTACTTTGCCACTTCCAGATTTACTAATATTCGTACTCGCCATCTAGCGGTGGATACTGAAATTATTATTATCATGTTCCAAGTGGTTAAAAGCTGGTTAAAATTTTTTTGAAAGAACAAAATTGTCTTTTGAATGCCAATGTAATGGCATTTGAAATGCGCTTAAATTTTCTTAGATCATTTTTAAAGAAAAAACAAGCCGATTGATGGTTATGTATTTTAAAACATTTTAAATAGTCATTTTTGGGTAATTTTTCGGTCTTTTAAGCCATTATTAATGTGCATTTCTATTAGAGTAGTTAAGGCTGCAAATAAAATCCCCATGGTACGAAAAAATGTATTATAAAAAGATAACTTCAATATTTTTCCACAAAATCATCGAATGTTCGAATGAGTATCCATTTTTTATATAAAATGATTAGTTCGTTCAATGTCTTCATTATCTATATTACACAAATGTAGTTTTTTTGAATGATATAAACGCAACACTTTATGTAACAGTGACGTAAACAGTTGTACAAAAACACAGATACAGATCAAGTAACTAAATGTGACACGAAATAAATATACTCTGAAGCTTCAAAAGTAATTTTTTGTAGTCGTTTGCGTACACGTGATATTGAGTATAAGTATGGTTGTGTAAGTTCTTTGTGAACATGATTTTTGTGCGTTATCAGTTAACTGGAATGATAATCTACACAAGCTTTAATGACTGCAGGCGAAAATTAATACATAAACTTCTTTGTAGCGTCAAAGTGATGAAACGACTACCTAGTAAAAATATTAATTTTGCAGGTTGCGGAGAGATAGCGAAGCCGTTCAGCGACCAACTATTGGCGGGTGGGAGGAGAGCTCATCGTCTCGGGAAGGCCGAGATAGCGTGGTGACCACGTCCTCGGGCAGCGCGTCGAGCTCGGAAACTCTCAAATGGCACGGTTCCATGTCGGACGTAAGCGTCTCCTCGGGAATGCCGGCGTCGACGATTTCCCGATCGTCGAACATGACCCATCCGTCGGAGCGCTGGACCAGCGCCGGCTCCATGACCGATTTGAGCAGCATCAACGGCAGCAGCACGTCAGCCTCCAAGAGCGGCGACGACCATCACCAGCACTCTGCTCATCAGCATCGAAATCATCTGATACCGCCGCAGTGGCTGAACCCGACCAGCTGGAATCAGGCGGTTTCCAAGAGCTATCACTCGGTCGCCGATCCGAGATTGATGGGCGACGACGACGCGAGCGTGCAAGATTGGGATCAGCCGCCTACCGTGCACAGCTCCTTGTCGGATATTCGGCAGGACACGCAGGGTGGCCAGCCCTCGTCGCCGCAGACTCCTACGTCGCCGTCGACGTCGAGTGCCGCGAGCAAACAGCTCATAGCTCACAGTTCGAGGGTCCAGACGCCACAGAGACATCACTCCGAGAGCGTACTGTACTTGGACCGAGAAAGAAATCAGAGAAAGCTATATCCCGTGAGCACGACGAAATTGGACGAGAAGGAAAATATAACGAGGTTTGTCTTGTATAATTACTCTCAACCGGCGACGACAACGACAACGACGACTGCGATTTTCTCTCCCCGGCACAGTGCAGCTCCACGGAAAAACATTTGCAATTTTTCCGTTTACTTGGAACTCTTCTTGTATTAGCATTATATAGCATACAGATTTCACTTGTTTTTATTTGACCGAGTGTGTAAGTGTGTGTATAAGTACTTATAAATACCGAACAAGCCATATGTATCATTATCCTATTGGCTGTTTTGCGCGCGGCCTGCCGATCTTTATCTCGACGCAGTTACATATGCGACATGTGTATGTGTATGGAACGAGAAACTTTAGAGAAATAACTTCGTTACTCGTTTCTTGCAATGCAGGAACACGTATATAAGTGCATTGGAGGGAGCGATCACGCAAAGCTGTGTCTGTGCCGCGCTCGCGCATAAACGAACGATGAGAGTTTAATTTAGCGCGCGCGAGATATTCGAGCCGATAAGGCCTCGTTTTTCTACGACGATCGCCTACACAACTTGTGGGCTGCTAGTGTACATAACTTTTTATAAACTTGATTATGTTTGTGCTTGCAGGAGTCCTCCGGCGTCATCGAGCCCGCCGCAGTCGGCTATCCCAACGGTGGCCGAGCGCGTCAGCGAGCTCGAGAAGCAGCAGATGCGCTACACGTACCTGGACCCGGAGAAGCGCCTTCGGGTCTCCGATCCCACTCTCAAAGCCATACAGAAAAAGGCTCTGCTGTCTTTTTACGAGCGACACCAGCAGCACCAGCAACAGGCCTCGTGGCGCTCGGAACCGCAATTGAATCCGGAAAAGTCGTTTTCATCGTCGCCGCCGCAGCAGAGCAGTCCACCGCCCCCGCAACCGCCACCTCGACCTCGGCCTTTGAGCGCCAGGCGGGCTTCCAGTGCATCGGATTACGCCGCCGCCAGGAAGGAAAAAACAGCCAGTGGAGGATCGCCAGTTGACAATCAACATGCAGAATCTCATTGCAATGGTGCTACGACCTCTGAGGGGGTAGTAGGAGAAGTAATTTTGGAACCAAGACACCAACACAGTAATAGCTGTGGAAGTCTATCATCTGATCTCGTTGGACCGGTCATCATCGGTCCTGCGATTTCCATTGACGATTGGGTACCCGAGCGACCACCTAAGAAACCACATTTAAGGTAAATCTATTATTAACAGTCGATAGTTGCGCAAGCGCACTACCTTTAACAAATTGTATACATTTATTTCACTCGCGTGCAAGTATTCTTACGTGTCATTCTTTTTTCAGAGCTGCATTCAGCGAGAGGCTTCCAAGTCCAGATTTGCCACCACCATCGCCACCAATGGTTACCGAAGTCGAGGTGAATAATCCTGATGCTCCATTGCCACCACCGCCACCAGAAATTTCTCAAGTATGTTCGACCGAAGGGTCGTTATTGAGTCAACAGCGTGAAAATTCGTGCTTTATAGATGATGCGCCTTCTTCTACTGGCAACGAGTTCAAAGTGAATAATGGATTGAACATATTTACACTTTTGAATGATCTCATCTTTCCTGTAAAACTTGATCTTTCAATATTTTGCTTTGTTTTAGTGATATTGTCATATCCATTGACGCTTTGCTTCTTGATGTGCCTATTCTTATCTTTCTTGCTACAATTTTACTCTTTAGTTTCATGTAAGACTATTTAGAAACATTTAAATAAATTCTGAATATTTTTTAGGATCGTAATTCTGAGATGCAAAGATCCAGTCGAAAGTTGGCAGATAAGGGAATAGATTCACACACACAATTCAAAGTGAAAGAAGCTCAGCAACAAGTGATGAATGAAAAAGTGGTTGCGATGGGTAAATCCTCCGCCGAGAGCAGACCAAACGTTTTGGCTGATTTATTGGCACAGAAGTATTCTGATTCTGGCTGTCAACGAGCGTCTCCTCAAGTACCAGTTGTGTCAAGCAATGGCATTCCACTCGAACACAATCAAGCATTGACGCGGAACTCGCCGAATAGGCAGAGTCGAACCAGTCCACAAGTGGCCAAAAGTGCTCCGATCAAGGGTAACGTCTTACCTTCAACAACGAGTCCGATTACCAGCCGAAATGGCGATGCCTCCAAGAGAAATAATCTAGCCAAGTATCAGACGAGAAACTATTTAGCACTGCCTCCCAAGTATACGGAAGCGCCAGGAATCCCATCATCGCCAGATTCACCACCGCCGTTAGCGCCTAGAATTAGCAACGCAAAAAAAATCTCGCCACCACCAAGACCTGCGCCTCCTATTCACAATCGAGGGTAAGTTGTATATTCGACAATTTTTTATTAGTTGCACAAAATTACTTTTTTTGAAAGTTTTTAAAATACTCGTAAATTTTATAAGATTTTCTTAAACTTGAGCTTTTATATGAAAAAAAAACGCTAAATTAAAGGATCTCTTTCGGTTGTTTGTGTAAATTAGAACGAATGAAAAATCGGGATAAGTTACGAGATCATCAAACACGTTCACGTTTATTATATGTATAACTCGAGAATGCGGCTCGCATCTTATCTGCAAAGAAAAAATCTTTCACCTCGACGAGTCGGCTTGAACGTCTCATCGCTTTTCATATCTTCAAGTGCTATATGCGACGACGACATATCAAATACGCTTGCTTACTTCTTTTTGTCCTTTCGTGTACTTTGAAAAAATGTATATTTGTCATAATTATACGAGCATCAGTAAAATTTCTGTCATTTACATAAATTTTTCTGAAAAGAAAAATGACAATATGATATAAGATAATTATAGATCATTCCTTCGATTCCGAATGAATTATGCAGTTAATATCTCTGGAAGTATTTGTTATCTAAACAGGATGAGTCACGCAATGTTAGACACTTGAATCTATTCTTTACATTGATATATATAGATGTTCGACAAGCAAGCTTAGCGTTTAACGTGACTAATGTCAGCCGTCTTTTAACGCACGATCAAGTTTCTATTTTCATTCATCTTTCGATTTTTTGTTTTATAAATGAATTTCATTTCGAAGCAATATTGGACAAGTTTTTAATCTTGGCTATTCTCATTTACAATCTTATTTTCCAATAACAAGCAATATACGAGACTCAGGCTCAATGGCAATTCCATGTTATGTATAGAGTTTGATACGCGTCTCTCTGGAATGAATTGTAGCAATAAAAGTTGCAGTATAACATGTAACAGTTGATCACTCAGGCTCATTGGGATTAGCTACATTGTAAAATTATCTTGTTTGATTTCCAAGCTAATATAATTTCCGGTTTCTAATAACTTCTTACGATTGAAGTGGCATTTAAGCAAGAGCCCATACAATTGTATTCTACGAGCTCGAATCGCATTCGCATTTGTCCGTGCTCATCCAGTAGCGAAACTTTAATGCGCTACTCGTTGAAGAAATTGCGCAACCTGCTGCTCGGTGCGCGCACACGCACACACACATACAGATCGAGAACACTCCTCCTCGAGGCACATAAATCCAAGCGGCAGATACAGTGCAGCGTTGTCTGTGCAGAGCAGACTAAGCACAGTTACGGGCTCTTATTCCGAACTTGGCGGCATGGCAAATTTAAAAGGTGAAAAGCCAACGGTATCCATCCGGAAGAATCATTGTCTTCGTCATTGGCCAAACATCGTCCTCGCGAGAGGAGGAAATAAGGTGTGTGCTCGTTTGCTCCGCGCGCTCTGCACTCGCGCAGCCTTTAATAGAAATCACTTTTGCAGGGAGAGAATATACATCCACGCGATAATTGCAAGGTTCGACGTTGTTGTTGTTGTTGTTGTTGCTGCAGTCCGCGTGCAGAAAGAAAGGTGGAGGTGGAGGAAGAGGAGGAGGATACTTTGAGCTACGGGTCGATGAGTCTTGGTCTTTTCACCTTTCTTTTGTTTCCTTCTCGCTCTGATTGGACCTCGCGCGCGACTTCTGGGTGATGTCCCTTTATAATAACATCGAGACCGCGAGAGAAAACCCACGCGATCTCTTTTCTACTGCAGTTTGTTTTTTCGTCGCTTTGTGTATACAATTTTCGCGTTTTACAAGTACGCAGGTGTGCAGCCAGCGAAACTCGGGTCAAGGTGTTGCAAAAGCGCGACTAGTATAGCACGATTCTTATTTTTCGCGTGCACGCCTACGTAGATTTACGTTCGTGTATTATATATTCGTGCTCCTCGGAAAAATTAATCCGCCTCATTTATTCGTCCATTACTCGGTAATATTGCACAATTTCATAGGCAATAATATAACAAAGACTAGGCTGGAGCGGAGAAGTACGTTACGGGCGTTAGCTGCCTGCAAAAAGCTATACTTATAATGCCATAATCTTTCTTTCTTGACCAAGAGAGGAGTATGATATTATAGAGAGAGAGTTTCCTTTGTCCGATGCCACGGCTTGATGAGCCACGCCGGAGATAGGAAAGAGTGAGAGAGACGAGCAAGAGAGAGAGAAAGATAGAAGCCTCAACATCTCTGGTCTAGCTTTTGCGTACTATATACACCACGACCTTCCCAAAGGAAACGTCGAACTAACGGTAACTCGTGCGAATCGTCATCCGCGCGCGGGAGCAGGTATATTATAGTTATAAGATAGATCGAGCGCGCGAGTCCTACGCACGGACAACGAGCTTGAATAGCCTGCGCGTTGTTAGCAATTATGCGTCACGATCATGTCTCGTGATGTATCAAAAAAAAAAAAAAAAAAAAAAAAAAAAAAAAAAAAAAAAAAAAAAAAAAAAAAAAAAAAAAAAAAAAAAAAAAAAAAAAAAAAAAAAAAAAAAAAAAAAAAAAAAAAAAAAAAAAAAAAAAAAAAAAAAAAAAAAAAAAAAAAAAAAAAAAAAAAAAAAAAAAAAAAAAAAAAAAAAAAAAAAAAAAAAAAAAAAAAAAAAAAAAAAAAAAAAAAAAAAAAAAAAAAAAAAAAAAAAAAAAAAAAAAAAAAAAAAAAAAAAAAAAAAAAAAAAAAAAAAAAAAAAAAAAGAACATACAAAGATCGTCGTCGGCTGCAAAATTATAATTAATCGACAAATAATTTTGCGCAAACCAAGGAGACTTTTCTTCGTATACTCGGTTCGCTGCGAGCTTATGTTATGTTATTATTATTAGTCAAGGACGCGCGTGTGTGTGCGGAGCCGCGAGAATTTTATATATAATACACAATTTCGTTTGCTCCATTAATTTTCTCGCTCGCGCTTTTATAGCGCGTACATGCGATCTGCGCGGACAGATTCGATTTAGCTAAATCAGTGATTTTCTTTGACTGGCTCGCGAGGCACTTGCCACCGCAGCGGTTTACATATTTTATTCTCCTATATATGACTACACGCGCGCATAAAGAAATCCCAGCGCGAATACGTACATTGATGTTCTCTATTGATCGCACACACACACACACGCAGTGACCGGTAACGTTTCTTTATATCCTTTCAAAGTAAATTTTTCGCAATCGTGCGATTCGTAATCCGATTGATAAAATTTCGCAATATCATAAAGTTTTTAATCGGTTACATCTGTTTTGCTGATTTGTTGCATTCATATATTATATACATATTCATGTGTCTGTGTGTGTGTATCTGTCTGTGGCAGCATAAGACCGCCTGCGCGTTCGCGATCGACTTTAGCCAAACACTTTTCCTTGGAAAGGACGACTGCACACGCGTCGGATTTCCTCGCTTTGTATAAGATACATTATATATACGTTTGTAATACGCCAAATCGACTTCCTTTCTCTCGGCCACTGTGTGCTCGCTCGCAAAAATATACGTCGAATATACATATAGCAACGTAGTAGCTGCTCTCTGCTTTCTGGAGCAGACACGGTGAAACCGAAGCCGTACGCGATCCTCCTTCCTCTCCTCTGCCACCGCCGCATCCGCGCCTGATCTGCATCTCGTGCGCACTACACCGAAGTAGCCCCTATACACGCTACTCTATAAAACTATAAAACGCGAAAAATAGACTGCGCCGATAAGAGCACGGCAACGGCCTTGAGAAATATGGTGAAAATTGCGTTGCCGGCGTATATCGACGCTTGTTCGAGAACAAAACAGCGATTTGCCAGCGAGGCATCTACGCGGCAATCACGAGGCAACCGAACGAGCTGACAAGGCCAGCTGAGTAAATACATTCGATTTATCTCTTCTTTCTCTCTCTCTCTCTCTTTCTCTCTCTATATCCTCGTGCACGAGTCCGTAGGGGAACTTTTTCGACGACGCCGCGATGATTCGTTTTCGGAAAACGCTCGCGCATATACGATACATCATGTAATATAACGTGTCCTCGTCATCGCGTTGACAACGCGCTGATTGCAGTGTATACAAACCGAGAGTCGCGATCCGATCGTCTTTTTTTTCAGCTATTATGCTCGGCGATCGCGATGCGACGATAATGAAGACGCATAGTAATCATCAATTATAAATGCTATCACGCTGATAAAGATCGCGCGTTGTCGTCATCGCGCCGAGTGTGACACGTTTGACTGGTGATCAGCTTTTATAAAAATGTCATGTATACCGCGTGCGCCCATAGACCATGAGCAGCATAGAAGAAGATGGAGAAAATGATAAAGTAAGACCTCACTTTCTCGACGTCGAGTCGTGCTGCTGCTGCTGTGCTCTCCCGGTCGAACGTCTCGCGCTGCTGCTTGCACCGAATCAATGAAACAAATCGTTTACATAGTGCCGCGAATAGAAGCCTATAAAAATGAGATTGAGGATGAAAAAACAGCAGCAGCAGCGCCTGTGTGTACACGGCGGATCGCTCGCTCGCCAGAACCCCAAAGAAAAAGCGTTACTAATGATGATATAGATGTATCACGAGCTGCGCCGCGTTGCTCTCTGTGTCTATAATCTGCCTCTCTCAAAGCGCGCGCTTGATCGTTTACACAGTCGCGGAGCCTTTTTAGCCTGCGAGCGACGACGTTCCACACTTGCGCCGCCGCTGCTGCTGCTGGCGACGTCGGCGTCGGCCCAGCACACGTATTGTTATCGTCGTCGATGCATAATCAAGTCGTATATAAATCGGAGTTGAGTCTTCGTCAAACACGTTAAACTATACATTATACACATATAACAGCGTAGTTACGAGCTTGGCGCGATGATAAATTCCAAGGATGAAGGGAAAAAAGTCGTCGTCGTCGTCGTCTTTGGCGCGATAACGGTGAAAAGTCGCCACAGCTCAAAGAGATAATGAAGCCACGGGACTCGGGAGGAGCTTACATACACACTTGCAAACACCTACAGTTTGCACAAAAGAGCAAAAGAGAGTAAGGAACCGATGAAATATCCC